TTTGATATTTTTTTTTATTGATATTAATGAGATTAATAGCATTGTCTTATAAAGAGAATCAGAGAAGCATAAATGAACGGCTGTATCAATGCACGTCCCGGACCAATGTTTAGTGTCTATTCTGATTTCAGCGTAAAAAAACATGGATGTGGACGTGTTAGCGGTTAAAAAACGAAAAAACAAAATTAGAAGATGAAGGTCTACTCTTTGATGCGGTTTGGTTGCAATTGCAGCGTCCTATGAACTTGGATTCCAAACTATAACTCTAAGCTACTTTATATTTCCAAATTCTCATAATCCCATTCCCTTTCAAACATTTTAATTTTCTGGGTTATTATTAGTCTGGGTATATATGTTAAAGAAACAACAAAAATATGCATGAGAGCAGAGGAGGGCACCAGATAATTAAGAAGAAGAAGAAGAAGAAAATGCTAAAAATATATATATACACACACACACACACACATAAAATTTAAGGTGTGTCTAATCAAATAATTTAAACTATTTTGATGAAATAGACTATTGTCACACATACTTCATATAAAAATTTCAACATATGAAACAAGTGTACAAGAGCATTCATTGACATGAACATTTCAAAATGAATCAATTTACCAAATTCAGCTCTCTTCATTTGAAAAGAAGCTTCACTGTTATCTGTAAGTCAAAAATAAGGGTCAAACTTGAAGAGCCACCCATTTAAGCTTATTTTTTTAAAAATTTAGGTTTTAAAAAATTATATTTTTTAAGAAAATTAGGCCTTAAAGCCCGGCCTTGATAGGCCCTGAAAGACGAGCTCGGGTGGCCCTTTTAAGCCCGTTTGTGTTTTTTCTTAAAATAAAATATTTTTAATTTTTAAATTGAATTTAAACTTTAAAATATATGTTTATACTTTAAAATTAGAATTTATATTTTTTTAATTTTAAATATTATAATTTGTTTTTTAAAAAATATATAAAATAAAAAAATTTAATTTTTAAAAACTTAAAAAAAATAAAAAAATACTAATAAGGGCTCACGGGCTTAGCCTTTAACCCTTTATATAAGGGTCGAGTTTTAAAAAATAAAGTATTTTAAGAAAATTGAATTTAAAGGCCGAGCCTATATAAGTTAGACTCATTCATTTTTCAACTCTAATTATGTATCCTTGACCTTTTCTTTTGTTCTTCCGGGACTAAGAATCTTTCTCTTTCTTTGGTTAAGACATTTAGACTAGAGCTGGCAGAGCAAATCTTATTGTTAAGACTTGATGATGGGGAAAAAATAAATACATTCTTGATGCTTCCGATTGAACATTACAACAATACAACTCTTCACTTGAAGGACTGACAATAACAATTCATTCCTTAATCTAAGAGTGAAAATGCAACCTTAAACTATGATGTGAGGCAATAAAGTGAGAATCAAGTTAACCTTCCTCTCAAGGTAAGATTTTAACTCCATTGCCTTTAAACACAATATGACACTCTTTATATAAAACTTTGGGTCCACAGCTAACTAATTTGATCAACACTAATCACACATTAATACGCTAATATTCCAACACTTATCAGAACTTCGTTAGAGAGGCCTGCGACCATCTCTAGCCTCTGCATTAACCTTTCTCCTTCTCTGCTTCGATTTTGATACCTTTATCAAACCCTTGTCCTTCGGGAAGAATGGATTTGAAAATGCTTGCATTCTTGTACTTCACGTCTGTCACGCCACTTAGCCCTCTCCCATAAGTTTTTTTTTTTTTTTGAGCAAAACTCCCATGAGATTTATTGGCTTCGACTTTTTCTTCTTTCATTTTCAATTCTCAATAAATCTCATGGATACTATTTTTTCCTTCTTCAGGATCAACATCTCGGATTAGCCCATCTTTTATGTTTTGATACGTCCAAGACGCGTTTTATTTGAATAGGCCCTATTTCGTATTTTCTTAGGTCATGGCCCCTAAGCCCAATGAAACATGTATGTTTTAATTTTCCAAAAACATCTTTTCTTATAAAAGTTATCCTCCCATTTGACATAATCAAAAACAACATTTGCATGGAGCCTGAAATGATCGGTCAATATTCTGACACTTTAAATTCATAACTGGAAAAAGATTTCAAATTTAATGGGTCCGATATTCTAGATTTGCACTTAACAAATGATTCTTTTTGTTCTCCACAAGGAGGTGATGAGAATTTATAAATTATAAGACTTGTATTCCCTTCAATGGTAAGTATAAGATTTAATTGAAGTACTTTTTTTATTCCTAAATATAACAATTACTTTTACACAATAATGACAAATAATTAATTTAATCAAATTCATTGATATTCATGAATTAGTTAACTAGCTATCATATTCAAGACGAGGAGCATAATATTAGATCAACCAACGTGACTATTCAATTGTGGCATTTTTAATTTGGCCTCTCAACGTGTTAGAAATATCACTTTTGGCATTTACACGTAATTCCCACGACAATTATACCCGTAATCAACAAAGTTTGAATTATGGATCAGATAACCGTTTGTGTGTGTAGAATAATGGCATCACTGTTAGTCAAGTAAGTGATGTAAAATCTTGAAAATCCACTTCACTGAATGCACTTTGGTAATATCAAAATGGTTATAATTTGGGTGTGGGGACTAAGTTGTTGTCATGTGTCGCTAAGAGAATTTTAATTCAGTTAGTTAATGTAGATAATTTGTGTTAGGTTGGCAAGCATCAAAACGAAGTCGTGGGAGCTTCCGTCCCTTCCCTGCGTGGTTTAAGCTGTAGCAGAGAAATAGAGGTGGGTGGTTTATAGGCTATATTAGAATAAAAAAGGTCTCGTAGAGCAATTCGAAGAGAATATCGTCAGCTAGGTTTAAAATACTAGTTCAGACATAACAGTTAACGTCTTATTTAATGCGAACAAATAAATATATGGGTGCATTTGGTTTCATTGCTTTTGGCATTTAAAAAGTTACTTTTTAGTTTTAGAGAGTTAAATGTTGCTTGGGATTCAAAAATTACATATAACTGACTTTTAAAAAGAACTTTGAGAGTGGCTTGCAATGGAAAAATTTAAAAACTCAGATTTGTAGCTTTTGAAATGTAAATTCAGACAACATGCATTAATTATTAATACCTACTATTTTAAAATGATCATGATATTCTCCCCATTAGTTTTGTCTTCTTGTGCTCGGCTTGCTCAATGTGCTTTTCAAAACATCTCATTCTCTCTTCTGTGTGTGTTGCTCGTTTCACTCCGCCGTTAGTCCACTGTGTCTCCTCTTTGGCTCCAGTGTCTCTCCTCCGTCTCTCCCCCCTATATGGTCACAGATTTGACTCTATCCATTCTTCCTTCCCCTAGCTCTTGATCTGGCGACGGAGATGACACATAGTAAAACTTCACAACAGCTACAGATGAAGATGACACACCTGTCGACGACGATCTGACTAGCAAAGGAGGAAGCTTAATGAAAAGAGAAGGAAAAAGGAGGAAGCTTGCTATCGATGGAAAGAAGGAAAAGGAACAAGATGCTGAATGATGCCCTGCTCTTCGCATAAAGGAAAAAAGATTTGAACAAGAAAAAATTATAGAAAAGTTCACAAAATTTTTCTTTTTACAACATAAAAGATAAGGCATCTTTGATAATTTCTTCATTATTAAAACAAAATAAAATCAACCAATTGCTAAGAAGGTTTCAAATTTTGGACCTTTAATATATTAGTATAAGTTACAATAAAATGTCATTGTCCATTTGTTATAAAATTAATTTAAATAAAATATTAATTAGGAAAATTTTATTTATTTTTTTAAATTTAAAATTTAAAGTAATCAATATTTTTTAAATTTTATATTATTTTAAATTTTTTTCACATTTTTAAAATATTTTTAATATATTATATTTGTAAAATAAAAATTATAAATTATTATAAATTAAGGTCTTTTTTTATCATTACATATTAAAAAGTACATTTCAAATACACAAATTTTTATTAATCCGAACAACTTTTAATTTGTTAAACTAATTTTTAAAAAAATATATCCAAATACAAAATTTATTATAATAATTGATTTTCATCAAATTGACTTTTACCAAATAAATTTTTATTAAACTGACTTTTAGCATAGTAAAAACTAAACACACACATGATCCTTGGGCAGCAACCTGACAATGAAGATTACATTCCATGGAAGGGCACTCAATAATGAGTATAATTTTAGGAAAACTAACAAATAGGGACTTCTCGAGCCCCTTAATTACAATAAAAAATCTTAAATTATTGAAATCTTAATTATGGATTATAGTCCTTATTTAGAATTAAATACACATTTGAATTTCAAAATTTTCTTCCACTTGAAAAATAAAAAAAATGACAATATTAAAATTATTATAATAGAATAAAAATATTGTTAATATTAATTGTGAAACCAAAGAATAATAATTGAGAATAAATTAATTTTTTAATGTAAATTAAAATTTACTTTTAAAACTTTATAGGAATACTTGTAAATATACAATGATTACTTAAAAATTTATTAAAATTATTTCTGAATATGAATACAATTATTTGTAAATCCTTAAAATTTACTTTTTAAACTTTTCACTTATACCTGTGAATATATACTATATATTTAAACTTGTGAATGTATGTTGATCACTTAAAAATTTATTAAAATTATTTTTTAATATAAACTCAATCACTTATAAATTTTTAAAATTTCCTCTTTAAACTTTTCAATGATATTTGTGAACAACATATAATAATTACTTAAAAATTTACTAAAATAACTTTTAACAAACGTTTTATAATATTCACATTTTTTTAATTCCAAATAGGATAATGCTATGAAGTCCCTGATTTTATTCCTTTTACACATTGTCTTAAACTTTTGCTTTTTTTGTTTTTGGCAAAGTTCGTATGCTGTTACCTCGCTCACCCCCCCTTTCCAAAAAAACAAAAAAAAAAAAAACAACTTTACCATCACCGTATTTGGTCCCCATGGACATGGTAAAATAATTGTTTGCGCAAAATTATAAACATAATATGAACCTTGATGCCAACATTACAGAAGTTACACAAGTATTTCCAGATTGGGAAATCAGAGAGCCAAGTTTGGCGACAATTCTGAAACAGCATATACAGCGATCAGCAACCTATTTCTCATAATGATACATGCCGGCAAACACAGGTCTGTCTTTGAATGACGAATGCAAATCTCTCGAGTCCCTAATTTTTTTCCAAAAAGAAAAAAGCAAAATAAAAGAAAAGAAAAGGCACCACATTCCCCGGAAAATACAAGAAATATAGGCAAGCCATGCGGGCACACCAAGCACATTCAATAGTCTTGTGCTGATCATCATTTCTTTAGTACACTGCAAAACAAGCAAGTCAGAATTGCGTCTCAAGAATTAGGGGAAAAAAAAAATCAGAGACCACCAAACACCATTTAAAATACAAGGCTCCACAAAAAGGCGCAAGCCAAGATAAAGATCCCAGTTCTAAAAATCAAGCTATACACAAAGCATCAATTTGATTAAAATCTTGAAATTTAAAGTACAGACACAACACGAGTCGTTCAGAAACACTGTTGTAGTATTATTTTCTTTCTTTCTTTCTTTTTTAATAGGCAATGTTTATTAATCACAGACTACTGGTCATAATTAATAAAACCATATTCTGATAATGCCCATTGCCTAAGGCAAGACCACCATCAGGAATATTAATTAGGAAGTAAAGTACACTAAGAATAACGGAAACACTATTGCAATTGGAATGCGGTTCATTCAATAGTATTTTTAATTTAAAAAATAAAAAATATTTATTAGGGAATACATACATAAATTAGAAGCAAGGGCCTCAGTGCTCCATTTACCAAACAGCGAAAAATCATGAAAACAGGAAGGGCAAAACCCAATCCAATAAAATAAATTCAAACAACATTTATAATCTCCCATGCTGATCTCAAGCCTCAATCACATGGTTGATTCAGTTGCTAATATCTGACAGTATCGTTATAACTTCTAAGAAACGAATTAGGGAGGAACAATGTGCAAACTACGATCCTATTTAAATATTCCAGCTTCGCTAAACATGCTCTTGACAAAAATTCTCCCCCAATCTCAAAAGACCACCTCAATCACAGTTCACTTCGACCTAAAATTCCTCTAATCCTAGTATCAAGTTATTAGGATTTTCTGTTAAATACAAGGTAAGCTGGTGCGGATCAAGAACAGAAGAGGGGGGAAAATGGGAACCAGTGAATCACAGGATATAAACAAAACAGACTCACATGAGCCATCGCTAGAAAGGGAACAGGGCAAAAAAAGTTCTGCAGCACAAGCTGCATCACAACATCCAGAATGTACAATGACTGCTTTCATGAAGAAACCTTAAAACTACCAATTGAGACTGTAAATATTAATCAGCCATGTTTCAAGAAGAAAACTTCAAATCCAAGGGCACATTAGGCAGGAAAAAATAATTTGGACCCCTAATCTATGAAAAGAGAAAATTCTATTAAAAAAATTTCAGGTACTTGTAAAGGAGATAGAAGCCTTACTTGTACAGATAGGCAGCAATTCCCAGAATTATAATCAACAACACAATATCAATACAGAAGTTTCGACTCGATCGAAGCTGGATAAGAACAAAAATTCAGAAGATTTTTAGAAATAAATCTAGCACTGATGATGCTTAACGAAGGATGAGATAGAAAAAGATCCAGTTAACTAACCTGATTGACTGTGTGTTTAAGTCTGACATTGGTATTCTTAAGATCAGAGGATGCCTTGTCCACCTGTTAAGAAAATAAATAATTTTGGTATTCCATGTCATATTAATTTCAAGTTCCAAATTCCAGTTCTGACAACTTTAATTTTGAGGCCAAGGAGTACTGGAAAAAATTGATTATTCTCACCTTAGTATCAATCTCATCCATCAATGGGACTTGCCTATCCAGTTCCTGCATTAAACATATAACCAATGATCCAAAACGTGGAGAATAAAAAAGTACACATGGCATGCGTACACAAAGGAGGAAAGGTAAACCAGACTAGTTTAAATTTTAACAGACCTCATTCATATCATGCGCCATGTTTTTCAACGTATCCAATCCTTCTGAGATCACTTCCAAACCTTGATCCTGAAGAAAGTGTCATCGAGTTATTTATTTATTTATTTTTGTTTTGATAAGAGTCATAGAGCTAAATTTTAAAACATTCCCAAAGTAATAATCAACATGCACATCAAGCAAAAGAAAAACAGGCAAAATCTTTCACTAGCTACAATTGCAAAAAGTGAAAAGCGATTTGCCTGCTTCATCCTACGCATTTCATACTCCTGCCTGAATTGACTTGATTCCTCAGTTTGCTGGAAGTATTCACTGTCAAATTGTCCATCTGTAATCAACAAAAAACACAAAAATGAAACAAAGTCCATTCATTAACAAGCTCCACCTCGTTATCGAATTAAATTGCATAGGATATAGACAATTTATGATACCTGAATCAAATTTGATTTCAGTACGTGAAGCAGAAGCCGCCCAGAATCCAGTTTGTTTGGGGGCAGCTGGAGCCCCATCTGGGATAGCTTGGATCCTCTCTGGCAATGCAAGAACCAAATCATTACGTGCAGCAAATTCTTCTGGTGGAAGCCCCTTTACCTGTGAATACATTGTATCATGCATCCAAAGACTGTCCTAGTGAATAACTTCGAACATATCCTAGTTAAATAAGTGACTAAGCATGCAGTAGTAGAGGATGAAAATGTCGAAACAAATACAAGTACCAAACATAATGGATCAATATTAATTAACACCATCAGAACTACAGACAGAAACAACAAAGAAACTGCTCATTTCGGATTCTAGTGGTTACTCTAGATCCCAGAGCTAGAGATATTGAATTTATTTCTCCTAGTCTCTTATCATCAAATTGTATTCCACAAACTTAGATTACATAATACGCTTGCTTTCAACGTATTATAAATCAGAACATTGAAGTTTGGTTTGGTAAATCAATTTGTCCCTCTAAAACTCAGTCAAAAGCAGAAATCTCAGGAGGTGTCCACATAAATAATAATTTCAATTTTCAAATGATACTGCAACTAGCAGAGAAATTAAATAAACAACCTTTTTCACTGCCAACCTCTGCAACTTGGGGACCTCCTCCAGCAACCGAGCCTTGGTGCGACGAAGCTCCGCGTTGATCGCCACGGCAGATGCCCTATTTTTCTCCTTGGAAGCCGTTTCTGCTTTCTACAGTGAATTGACCCAAGATATTAGGTAAATCCAGAAGCACCCGAATTCAAAATTAAGAGTGATCCATAAATTAGGGCACAGATTGACCCGAACTCTTTCCACCTATATATATTCTTTGCTTCAACCTATCAAGCATTGTCTAGGACAGAACTTACTAAACTCCAACAACTTCTGCTTAATTTTTCTTAGCATCAAGCAGAACGAAGGAAAATTAGAAAAACACCTGAAGAGCAGCCTCGATGTCGGCATCGACGATGGCGTATAGTCGAGCAAAGGCATCGTCGCCAGAAATATTAGAATCCTTGTGCTTATCAACGTCGTATTTGTCGTACTTCTTACAGATCGAATCAACTCTGGTCAGAATGTCGATGACGCTCATGATTTTACTAGGCAGGGAAATCCAGTCCTGATCCTCGTATTATTATTGACAAAACACGAAGATAATAAGATCACTAGGCACAGCAGAGTTCGATCTGTCTTTAAATTGTGCCCTGATCTGTTCCGGAATAACCCAGGAATTACTTCAGGGGGGAACGCAGGGACTCGTGCTACAGTAAAGGATCCCGCTTCTGGTTTTACTGTCTGTTTACTCCCTTTCCTTCGAGTCGTCGTCTTTTTTCCCCCATTTCCTATTTGACGTTGTTTGCAAATTACTTTTGGCTTTGTTTATATGAAATTAAAAAAATTTAAATTTTATTAACTTTATCATAAAATTTAATAATTTTTTATTTTTATTTTAATATATCTTTTTAAATTTTAATTATTAATATTTTTATTTAAAGTATTTAATGAGAGTAAAAATATAAAAAAATATTAAAAATTAAAAAGTGTCATATATATATATATATATAAATTTTTTTTTTCTATTTTACAAATGAGAAAGGTTAAATTTGTAGTAAGAAAAGAGGGAATAATTTATATTCATATTATTGAATTAAAATACGAAATAACATATTTTTCTATTATAAAAAATGAGCTAAAACTTAAAATCTCATATATAATTTGTTATAAAATTTTCTCTAATAAAAGGTATCTATGGCTAACCGGAGGAAAAAAAAAAAAACTAACCATAACCTCTTTCACTGAACCTTGGTAACATTTTGTATTGTTGTCTCAAAAAGTTTCACAAAACCATATGTTGTTGCATTAGCCTGAGGAGGCCTTCTTTGCCTGTGCCTTAAAAAAAAAAAAAAATTGCAACGTCATGACTATATGATCATAAACAGTATGAGTAGTGTCGTCAACGTGAAAAGACGTCGCGAGCTTATAGGCCCAGCCTCTTAGATGTGCGCACAAAAGGAACACTTCACACGATATCGAGGCAAGCACTCTCGAGTCTCGACTTGGATTTTAGAACAGTGATACTCTGGTAATTATGTTTTTAAGTCTAAAAGATCGAGAAAAACATCTGCACGGTTAATTTGCTTAATTATACTGGCAATGAATTAAATTCGGGTTATGTGAATTTTCAACAAAAAGATACAAGTGAAAGTTTTTTCCGTCAGGTAAAAGCAGACACCTTGAGATTCAAGGTGACTTGGTAGTCTGGTGGTAACTATTGGTACTCTCTAGACAGAGGTCGCTAGTTCGAATCCTGCCGCATGGGAAAGAGAGGAACTTGAGATTCCACGTAGAAATCCATCCAAGTATTATTATCCTTCAGTGGAGATAGTTTGTGAAGGATGACACAAGTTTAAAACATCACATTGTTGAATTAAGAGTGCAAAGTGTGCTTTTGAACATAGAATAATTATGTTATTGGTTTTGAGTCATAGTGGAACACCTTTTTCATCTTAATTATTCGGTGCAGTCTTGTGGTATAGAAACATCCACGTCTATCTCCGTGAAGTTTCGCATCACATTGGTAGCAGCGAGTACAAGACAATGAAGAGTAGTAATGACCAATGACTCTCAAAAAAAAAAAAAAAACTAAATGACGGCAGCTTTAGGCTACAAAAGGTTGAAAGACGCTGGTTTTACTTGCATGACAAGAAGCTCAGTAACTGCTCAAGGTTTGCGCTCTTGGGTTTGCGCTAGATTCTCCATCCTGTTCACGTAACAGTGATAACGTGTTTAATAAATATACATATTGCCAGTGTTTTGGTTAACTTTACGAGATCGGCGGTGAAATAAAAAAGAACTGAGCATCCTGCATGCACACGAATCCTGAAGAGTGGAGAAAGGAAGCAGACAAGGAAGTCTAAATTACTTGTGCTAGTTGTAATCCGCAAACACTTGTAAGATGGGACCTTGGGGTGATAGAGGCCACCAGAAGAAAATGATCATGTTAATTGTTTTTCAGTGGAACTCATGTTCCTGGGCTGTCAACACGTGTTTGTCATAACAAGAAGGCGGAGACGTAAAATTGCACTACACAACAAGTATAAGTCTGATCACGCATGAGTAAACTATGATTATACTTCCTCACGTCATTCTAACTTGAGATGTGTTATTATTGTAAACATTACATAATGTAGGCAATGGAAATTAAAAACGAGGGGTCAAACATGTCAGCCTCTTTGAACGCGGTGGTTCCATCAATATCATTGTAACTCGCGGGTGGCTAAACATGTGGGGACCTGAGTCACTAGTGCTGCTAATAAAAATTCTCAATTGGATAGGATTAGCCAGTAAATGCGATATTGTATTTGCATTGCTCTGTAGATGCTCACCTTCCTGTTGAGTTAGGTCCACGCATTGTGCGCTGCCTTTCTTGCTTTTACTCACCACGCCCCTTTTTTTCTTTGCAATTTACTTTTCTCCGCTCAAAATTGGTCGACCCTTTTTTCTCTCTCTTTTATCACAGGACCCATTTAAAGAAAAATTATATTGAAAAATCTTTTCTCTCCCCAGAAGAGTTTTCTCACACGTCTCTAAAATAACTCCCAGAGAAGATGGCCCATTAAAATGAAGTTTTGTACTGTGCGAGGAAAGTAAACCGCTTGGCCCCAGAGCAATGCGTTACCGTGATTTCTCACCAACAATAACAGTGTATTAAATGTTGCTGTATTTTATTTTGGTTGTTTTTGAAGGGTCAGATTCAGAATTGATTCTAATCAACACGGATATCCAAAAAGCCTAAACGGTGGCGCCACTACCATGATGCTCCATTTTCAAGTATAAACAACAAATTAAAAAACGGTCATTTTTGGGGGGGGGGGGTGTTTGTTTGACCTTCCGTAATGTAAAAGAGAAAGAGAAAGAGAGAGAGAAGGGCAAGAGAAATGGATGTAAGGGAATAGTGAAACGAGTTAATACTTAATACGGATCGTACGGGTACTCGGTAAGGGTGGGCAGTCCAGGGAATTTCTCATCCTCTTGTTTCTTACTTCTGAGAACAACCGCTTTATTACCTTGTCTCCTTCCCACAACAAACCCCCCAACCCTCCTTCTTCTTCATTTGCAACTCTCTCTCTCTCTCTCTCTCTCTCTCTCTACCTTCTGCTATAATCTTGCGTGTTTGAGATTGTCACTTCACCGGCACCGGACCTTCACCGATTCACAAGGCACGTTTATCTGGTTGATTACCCTTTATAATTTTTGTATGCTTTGTGCTCTGTGATTATATGCCGAATTTTGTACGATCACGCCCCTTCTGTTCGCCAATATCTGCTGCGCATGCCTGCAATATCTCTGTTAATCAGTAAAGTCTCAGGTTTTCATTTCTGATCCTCTTGATGATCGCTTCCGATGCATCATCTCTCCAGCTCTTAATCATCTTTAGTTTTTGCTTCTTGCCACAAGGGAAGGTGCTCTGCGTGCCTATCGCCTGTGCCTTTTGTTTCTCTTTTTCTTTTCCCGCGACTTTCTTTTGGCTGTATGATTCCATAGTTTTCCTGGTTCAGAGTTTGCGGATTTCATCTGGGGGATTATATGGTTTCCGACCCTTTTATGTTTTCATATATTTCTATTTTTTAAAATCTCTCTTATCGTTATCAAGCTCGTGGAATAGATATAGACATGTACTGCCTGCCTGATGAGAATTGTTGAGGTTGCTATTGGCCCATGACTCCATATGTTACAGCCTTCATATTAACATTCACCTACCCATCTTTTGTCAAAAGGGGGAACATGTCGTAGATATGTTGGGTGGGTTCTATTTGAGAAGGAGGAATACATTCTCCCTTGCTAATGGAAATAATGTGAATTTCATGCCATGTATGTTTCATCCCCCCCCCCCGTTGTCATGACATTTTTATTCTGTTCTTTTGTGGTTTATCAAATTTTTAATTCGAAGGAATCTGCTTGTGGCAGCGGATGACATGATTCTCTTATTTATTTTGTTGATGTTGTGCTCGCCTTGTAGTTTTGGCTATTTAGAACTGACTTGAAGAGCTCAAGTGTCTCATCTCTTGGGCTTTTGCTGTTTGATGGATATAAGCTGTCTCTCTTAGTTTTCTTTCGTAGTATAAGTGACAATAAACAATTACCATTCAAATTTAGTCTTGTCTTTCTAACTTTTTTACTTTGCAACTTTTAGGATTTAGGATTTCTTCCACCCTTTACCTGGAAATATAACAAGAAAAACATTGGCAACAACAATAATAATGGGAAAATCGTCTCCTTGTTTTTCTCACTTTTGGTACTCTTTATAAGTGGTTCATAGTGACTTAGTTAATGCAGTTATTGGATTGGTTATTACTTTTATCGCCATAAATTTTTATTTATCTCTGAATATTTTTCATTGAAGTTTAGCTAATATATCCTCAATTCTAATTGTTCATTGAGCATTGTGGTTTTGCATGTTGGAGGTTTTAGAAGATATTGTCAGTCCTGGTTTTCTATATAGATTTCTCTAGAATCAATTAGGTTTAGATTGTTTTTCATTATGCAGGTTTCTTGGTGCTGATGATATATGTTTTCATCTTGAGTTTGAACTCAAGATTGAAACATATATCTGCATCTGCTGGTGAGATGTGCTTTCTTTGGAAGCCTTTATCTCCTCTTCTATTTCTTACCTGCTCTTAAAGAGCAATTTATTCTCCATGGAAGGGGGTGAATTTCTTCATTTGGTTTTGCCCGGGCATTTGCATTGTGCTGGTTATGAAAGACGGTGAATTTCTTTATCTGGTATCTTCCTTGACATTGTCTGAGCTGAATTGCAGATGGTGTTGCATGAACTTTGAATCTCTGGGTAATGGGTGGTGGTAATGGAACTGATAGATCTGGCATGTTCTGTTTCTGATAAGTTTGTGCGATATGCCGCTGTAGCAAAGTGTTATAAGCTAATTTCATTTGACAAGAAGAAAGTGTATCATGCCAAAGATCCTCATTCTCGTGCCAATTGGAAGAGCTTAGTCCTTGGTCAACTGGAATGTGGCATTTAGATACGGGCCATCCATCTTCTAGGCTTGGATGCATTTTTGACATGAGACAGCCCGACAATTATTCCAGGGATACTGTGACAGCATACTTGTCACATTCCAATGTTTAGAGATGCAAGATGTTGATGCAGAGTGTTATGGACAATTTAGGGAGGGCAGTGGAACTCTGTGAATTACATTGCTCTAGTTCTAATTGATGTCCTGAGGTGTAAGATATGATTGTTGGTAAACCTTTATACTAGCTACCCTATGGCATGTAAGAGCTTACTGTTACATCCTTTCTAGCGCTCTTGGTCTTGGGTCCAACATCCATGATAACTATTGTCAAGGTGATGCCCTTTAGTTGGGCTGTTTTAAGGGCCATAGCAATGGCAGACTTCATAGAGTATTCAGACTGCCATGTTGGACCATTAGGACATGTTTCATGGAGGTGGGTGTCCATTTACTCTAAATCAATGACATTACAGGGCTTTTTGTCACGGTGCAGTTTCTTGTACTGCCAAAAGTTGGTTTCTTCAATAATTCACTATGAACTGCATTACCAAAGATGGACAGTATTGGGCATATTTTTTACAAGAAGCCAATATCCTTTGGTGCAAGATGTAGACAGGAAAACTTCCAGATTTGGAAGCCCATATTTTGGTTAATTTTTCTAACTGTCTTTATCTATTTTAGTTGCTACTTCTGAATTTTGATGATGAATATGATTAGTTTTTACTAGGATTAACCTTAGGGACAGATTTTTATTTTTGAATGAGAAGATGAATTCTTTCATTCAAAGAATGCTATACAAAAACAGTGGAAGCCTTGGTGAAACAAAAGATACCAAGGACAGTTAAAAACAAAAAAGGTACAGTTTATTATACCTTTGTCATCAAATTCTAGTGTAAAAAGTATGATTGTTATAATCAATGGAAGTTGGATTGGGGGGTAAGGGACTCAATACTCATGAAGTAATGTCGAGGGTTCAAACCTCTTCAATGGAATGGATTAAGTTGGGAGATTTATTTTTTACTTCGTTTCAATGATGCTTGAATAATTATACAAAAAGAAAAAAAAAAAAAGGACGTGTTAGAAGTTATTTGAAAGACAGCTTAAATTCATCCCTCGTAAAAAAATAATGGTTCAATGTGCTTTTATATACTGTATGTCAAAACTATTAGTTTCTTAAGCTAATAATGGTGATATTTTCCTAATTATTTCTGACGTTGGCATTGTCACACATAAATCATTGGTCACTTGTAATTGCAATGGTTCTAAGCAATCTGTTTCTTAATGTGATATTCTTAGTTAATATGTCTTGTGCTATTATTAGGTATTATGATTCAGATTTTATATCCCTGGTAGAGGCTTAAATTTATTTATTTTCCTTCTTTATTGTGTTCAATTAATTGAATTCCTTCTGAGTAGAGTATGTCTCAATGTTCTAATTTAATTCTACAATTTTGAAATTGGGATGATTGGAATTCATATTTTATTGACTTTTATGTCTTCCCTTCTTCCTAAACTTTGGGTTGAGTTTTCAAGTTTGTTTTAAAGTTCTGACTGCTGACCATATATCATATATACTATTCAGGGAGAGTATTAGTTTTTCTCTTCCACACACTAACTGCATATTTCAGAATTTTGTGATTAGGAGATTAATGGATGATTGTCTTGAATATAGATGTTGCTGAGTCAGAGTGCAAGGTGGTTTTTCTCTTTCAATGGAAATGGGTAATCTGTGAGTTAGTGACTTAAAGCGAGTGTAACAGGGACTGTTTTTTATTTTTGGCCGAGTGTACTTGGGACTGTTGGTAATTCATGATGATGGTTAAGGGAATCAGTAGTGGCTCCTTTGTTTGAATAGTTGAGTGACTCCTAACTTTTACTCATGTTTTTGCCTGTGTAATAGCAATTGAACTTGGTGATGCTTGGTGTCATAGGTTGTTCTGTAGATGACGTGAATATTGCCTTACTGGCTAATTCAATTTGCCGTCCTGTTATCGATAAGCTCTTAAATCAGTGTACGAGTCCTTATTTACTTGTTCAATCATTTCTTTCGTATTCTTGACAGCGTGACTTGGAAGTCTCAAGCTGGATGGTCATTGTCTGGGCCATAAGTTCTTTTTCGATAGAAGATGTTAAAATGGACAATGGTTAATACCAAAGACTAATGTATGAGATGTTAAGGAATTTCACTGATGAAGTAGACATTTGGAAGTGCCAGTGGTGGTTATATATGCAATAAATGGAACAGGAAGGTCAGGCTAGGTGTAATTATAATGCTAGCAGCATTTTTCATTGAATAATAAAGCTGACAACATTTATTTTATTAAGTGCTAAATTTTGGTTTTTAACTATTTTTGCCCCCTTTTGCTTTGGCGAGGCTTATCTGACCACATGCATCTTAATTTATCTCTAGGTATTGAATCTTGACTACGCGTATCAGTAGTTACACTTCCTAGCCATGTCCTGCTTTCAGTTTATGATAATGAGGGGAATTCCTAATTTCTATTTTCGAAAAGGCTACCTTGTGGGAGTTTTGACATCTGACTTACACACTTTCATCCGTTGTATGTATATGCATTGGCTTGTTCCCCTTTCCCCTCGTTCAATGCATATATCTACAAATGACTAATAAATGAGGTTCATCCTTCAATTGGGCTTTCTCTGCATAACCGCGACTTGCTCACACGTCATGGAAGTGTTTGATTTATATTTAGCATCCAGGCAAGTGTTTGGACAGTGCACTGTGATTTTCTTCTACAATTGTTGACTGAATTTGATTGAGAAAATGATTTATAATGATTGTTTGCCTGATACTGCAGGGCTGTACAGTCTAAGTAGACCGTGAGAATTATAAGAGTTTGTATATGATGGAGTATTTAATAAATATTATTTTTTTTTTTGGTATTCTTGGGTTGTTATTTTATTCACTGAAGTCGTTATCAAGTTTTATTGTTGCTAAAAAAAATTTTTGTGGCTTGAAAATAATTGCATGATTGTTTTGAACTAAATTTGTTTTTCTTTTTTTGTGCACAGATTGTCAGTCATTTGCAGGTCTGTCTTTAACTACGGTGTCTATCCTGAGATTGCAAGTGCTATGAGTCATAGGCATTTGTATAACACATCTCAAATGTTTGAGAGTGATCATGACCAAAATTGGAATTCTATGCATACTGACCAACAGTATGTGCACCTTGGTAATTCGCTTTTATTTGCTATTACTTCTACTCCCATTCTGCCTTGTTAGCCAGGTTTTCCTTACTTGCATGAACACTACATCACTTACAATATCTATTGCAGGTAGAGCTAGCACTTCAGAGAATGGTTCTTTCATTTACCCTGTGGAAAATATGTCTATAGATGGCATTTCTTTTACCTCTAATTGGAATTCTACCACAATGCCAAATGGATTTGCATCCTCAAGTCTCAATATTGAAGTACCACCTCATCAGTCTGACACATCGGGCGCTTCTCATGACCATTTTCTGCATTCATCAAGTGCTGCAGCCTTCTTTGCAGTTTCTGAAAATTATGCTCATCAGCCTTCTTCTTCCAATTATGATAGACAGCCATTTCACATCGTTGATGGTGGTTTTGTTGATCTTACAATGGGAAGTGGAAGAGGGCCTCACAAACGGAAGAGCCCTGGAATTCCTCCAGCCTGTGAGAGAGGTAGTACAAGTAGATACATAAAAACTGGAAGTTCAACTGATCTTCCTATGTCTTCAGAACTATGGCAGGAGAAGCCAAATATGGATTCTCAATTTGTGCCTCGAGATCAAGTTACCATGCCAACAACCTTTAGAGGTGGTGACCTTTCAATCAGGGGTGAGGGTTCCTTGAGAAACGTGAGAAGCCGTTCTGCACTTGATTTTGAATCCAACCTGGCCAGGACCCATTTATCTGGCAATCATTCACACAACTACTCCACTGGTCTACCCATTGACCATTCTAGCACAGTGGATCTCTCAGGTCAGAGTTCTAGTGCATTAACGAGGGATTGGAGCCAAATGAGCACATCTCATGCTCATGGCAGGTTATTACCAGGTTAGTTAGTTTATATATTCTAGTACAGGCACATAAGCATTCCATTGGCTTGCTTCAAAACTTACAAAATCTGTCTTAAATGGCAGATACAAGTGCTCTTAATTGTGAGACAAGTCACTTCCTTGTTGGGAGTAGTGCTAGTAATCCATCCGTAGATATTGGGGGTTACCAGCATGAATTTGGTACAAGCAGAAATCCTATTGTACCTCAAAGTTTTCATAATAATCTGACTCAGACAGCTAGGGGAGTGCGAAGCAACTTTTCACAAAGGTCTACTCCACCTTTTAGATCTTCTTCAAGCTTGCGCTTAGGGCATGTGGCACCATCAGATGATGGAATGCAAATGGTTGCTGGTAGTTACTCCTCAAGACACCCAAGGCCATTAACAACCATTGGCTGGAGGAACAGTGACAGAAATGGAAGGTCAAGGATATCTAGTGATAGATATCGACCATCAGTAGAGGCATCTCTCCACGATCGATTTTCTTCAGAGGTATCATTGAGTATCTTGGGAATTTCTTTTTTGTGTCATAATTGAGAGGAGGATAGATTGCATGAGTTGGGATACCTGTTTTCATGTTTTCACACAACCACGACAGGTGTATTAACGTTGTTTGTGCAATCTTACTCCAACGTCTTTTATTGTAAGTTGACTAGTTGTCATAGTTCCTATTGTCATCAAGATTTTATTTCTGGCTGTATTACCACCAGTGGAAGGTTCTAACTTGCTATTTTCCTTGCAGGGTTTCGTGATTGTTGATCGTGGGTTGCCATATGGATCTAGAAGTATGGTTGATCAGCATAGGGACATGAGGATGGACATAGACAACATGAGCTATGAGGTGATTTTAATTGATTCCGTCCAGATATTTTACTTGTGCCATAAATAGAGGTGTAATGGTGTTTTGCATGAAATTCGAGGAATATATCTCAATATATATAACTTATGAATAATGTGGCTTCTTATAGATTTTACATTATATATTGATGATTTGTATTATTTACTTATATTTGAACTTTTTGAATGAATGGCTTCACCAGGAACTACTTGCCCTTGGAGAGAGGATTGGTCATGTCAGCACAGGCTTGTCTGAGGATTTGATTTCAAAATGCATGACGGAAACAATATATTGTTCATCTGAGCAAAGTCAGGAGGAAGGAACTTGTGTTATCTGTTTGGTACGTTGCACTACTGCCCCTCGGAATACACTATATAATAAAAGTATAGCCACATCATAGCTGAACTCATTAAATGTGGTCAACCCTGTATAAAAATGCTCCTTGTGTATATCATAGATATACGAGTTGTATTAAAAAAGTAAAATAAATTGAAGGTTTTTCTGTTTGTCTGCCTAGGACTGCTTTGTTATCGTAAATGATTTCATTACATTTTTGGGTTTGGGTGTCTTTTGGATGACATTATTGTTAGTTATATGGGTGCTTTCTGAGCTGAACTGAAAAATTTGCAGGAAGAATACAAGAATATGGATGATGTTGGGACGCTGAAAACTTGCCGTCACGACTACCATGTGAGCTGCATAAGAAAGTGGTTATCTATGAAGAACAAATGTCCAATCTGCAAAGCTTCTGCTTTGCCAGACGACGTGAAGGAGAAATAATTCATTTTACTGTAGTTTAACATATCTCATTTTGTATATAAATTTGGATATTCCTCAAAGCCGGGGAGACGGTCTTTCTTTTGACGTTGTAATAGGGATGCTACTGAATGTCAATGCATTTGTTTCTGGCTTCAATCTCATTCCGGTGAAGCCTTGAAATTGTCAGTTGCCTCGTCATTTAATACTATCGAACGATGGGAGGGTAACTAAACTTTTCCCTGATTAATTTACAATGCGTCATGAAACCATCGTGGAATGATATAAGATTTATGGATATCTTCATGGCGGAGCTTTCATGTCATGTCTGATACACTGATGTTTAAGTTTTAACTTTTTTATCACCTGTGTTCGTTACAAGGATTTTCCTTATAGTGGTTCCTAAGCTCATTTGTCTAAATATTAATAACTTAGATCCACGACCTTGATATTCCCTACCCTAATTAACTAAGATGTTTCTATGTAATTAAACAACACCCTCTAGTTAATCGGGGGGGGGGGGTTTAGAGAAACAATTATGTACAACTCGCATGTATCCTATTTATTCAGAGTTTGACGACTAAAAAAAAAAACATACGCCTATTTATGGAACTCCAGTACCAATCCTAACTAACTTCATATTTTATGATGATTTTATTTATTTGTTGTTAGCGTTATTGGCTTACGGTAATAGATGATATAGAATTTTTTTTTTTCTTTTGACATGTTAATGCCTCTTCCAAAAATAGATGAAAGATGTATTCAATTTTTGAACGTTAGAGTGAAGAAATTTCCTGTTCAAGGATGTTGCAAATTTATGGGAGGCTTCGTTCCGGCCGCATCGACGCAACCATGTACAACATAAAATTTTCCAAAAAAAAAATTAATAATAATAATAATTTTTAAGTCAAAATTAAATAAAAGGAAATTCCGTATTTTCGTTTGCTTCAAACGAGAACGAAAACAAGGATTAAGCGCCATTCAGTTTCATTCCATGGACGGCAAGTCAACAAGGATCGGCCCAATTAAATCGTTCCGTTCCAAACGCGGCATGCCCTCGAATATTCTAGAGTCTAGACCCATCCTTTAATACCCAAACTACCCTTCAAGCTTTGACCCGTTCTTTCTAGGGCTTTCCGGATCCAAGTAAGGGGAGCCTTTGTCCTTTGAATATCTTGTGCTATAAAATGCGCCCCTAAATCCCATTCTCTCTCAACGGAAGCAAAGCCTTCGTAGCAATCGGCAATATTTGTGTGCGGTGTTGTTCTTTCTCTTTGGTTCTCAATATGCAGATCTTTGTCAAAACCTTGACCGGCAAGACAATCACCCTTGAGGTGGAAAGCTCCGATACTATTGACAACGTGAAGGCGAAGATCCAAGATAAGGAAGGTATTCCTCCGGATCAGCAGAGGCTAATCTTCGCAGGCAAGCAGTTGGAGGACGGCCGTACTCTAGCTGATTACAACATCCAGAAGGAGTCGACGCTTCACCTCGTTCTCCGATTGAGGGGCGGTATGCAGATCTTCGTAAAAACCCTAACTGGAAAGACGATCACTCTTGAGGTGGAGAGCTCGGACACCATTGACAACGTTAAAGCTAAAATCCAGGACAAGGAAGGTATTCCCCCAGATCAGCAGAGGTTAATCTTTGCGGGCAAGCAGTTAGAAGATGGCCGTACCCTTGCCGATTACAATATCCAGAAAGAATCGACCCTTCATCTTGTTCTCCGATTGAGGGGTGGTATGCAGATTTTTGTCAAAACTTTGACGGGAAAGACAATTACTTTGGAGGTGGAGAGCTCTGATACAATCGATAATGTCAAGGCAAAGATTCAGGATAAGGAAGGTATTCCCCCAGATCAGCAGAGGCTCATCTTTGCCGGAAAACAGTTGGAGGATGGCCGTACACTCGCAGATTACAACATACAGAAAGAATCAACCCTTCATCTTGTCCTTCGATTGAGGGGTGGGATGCAGATCTTCGTCAAGACCTTGACTGGGAAGACCATTACTTTGGAGGTGGAGAGTTCTGATACTATTGACAACGTGAAGGCCAAAATTCAGGATAAAGAAGGTATTCCTCCGGATCAACAGAGACTTATTTTTGCTGGTAAACAATTGGAAGATGGTCGAACACTTGCTGATTACAATATCCAGAAGGAATCTACGCTTCACCTTGTGCTTCGTCTCCGGGGAGGAATGCAGATTTTCGTGAAGACCCTCACAGGGAAAACCATCACTTTGGAAGTTGAGAGTTCCGACACTATAGACAACGTTAAGGCAAAGATCCAGGACAAGGAAGGTATCCCACCCGATCAGCAGCGTCTGATCTTCGCCGGAAAGCAATTGGAGGATGGGAGGACCCTTGCGGATTATAACATCCAGAAAGAGTCAACTCTCCATCTTGTGCTTCGTCTGCGTGGAGGTATGCAGATTTTCGTTAAGACGCTCACTGGAAAGACTATTACTTTGGAAGTTGAGAGCTCGGATACCATTGATAATGTGAAGGCGAAAATTCAGGACAAGGAGGGGATCCCGCCGGACCAGCAACGTCTCATCTTTGCTGGGAAACAGCTTGAGGACGGACGTACACTTGCTGATTATAACATTCAGAAGGAATCTACTCTTCATCTTGTCCTCCGTCTTCGTGGTGGGGACATCTAAGGAAATTTCTGTTGGTTTAAGATTTTAAGATATGTGTTCTTGTTAATGTTGTGCGCAGTTATTAGAGTCATTTGAGGCTGTTGACTCTGCTGTCATGTAAGGGCGTCCTCTACAATGTTTCTGTTTTTAATTTAAATAAATGAATGCTTGACTCTCTCATATAATGTTTTTTTACTTGGTTTGATAATGAAGCGATAGATTTCATTATTGAATTCCATTGGTGTTGGCAATGTGACTGGAGGGACTCCCTCACTCTTCGGATTTCAGCTGGAAAGATTTACATATGGTTCAGTAGGTGCTGAGGTTCAAATTAGTCCGCTGAACCTTAAAGTCTTTAGTGTTCATATGAGGACAGTATTGAGTTGGATGGATTCAGTTAATGAACTAATGTTAAAACGGATGGCTTCTTTCTTGTGCGCAACCTCAGGCCTTTGCTACAGCAGAGTGGTTTTAATGCCATTCTAATGCCCTGTTTGTATAGGGAATTTTTTTTTTTTTTTAGTGGAGGTGGAGATAGGGGTAAGGTTTACAAATATGTTATATCATAATTTAAAAGGACCAAAATAGCCTTGAAATAATAAAAAAAAGCCAAAGAGAGAGTGGGGTAAAAACTATCGACCATTTCCAGAGTCACCGAGAAGCTCCATTGGAGAAAAAATGGAACTATACCCAATTTGATGAAAACAAGAGTAAAAACTATGCAAGACATTTGATGCAAATCTTCTACAGAGTTAGTGTGGCGGCAACTCTATGCACATCTGATGAAAAATTCTATGCAGCAACCCTACCCATTTCCACGGCTTATGTGTTTAGCAATGAGGGAAATGAGAAGAGGAGTAAAGTCAGTCCAGATATTGTTTTCCTTTTTTACAGATATGGTAAAATTGAAGAAATAATTACAACAAGAGGAAGGAAACGAAGCATTGAAGGTGGAGATGGTGACGTCGACGTCAGGCTTCAATGCGAGCAAGATCAGAAGTGAAAATGCTATTCATTTACAAGCAAAGATTGAAGAAGGTTGAGGAGGAAGCGATGCCAAAGGAGGAGGAGGACGTGCTTGTCATTGGAGGGGAGACGTCATGATGGTGTGGAAGACCATTGGGAGCTGAGGGGGAGACATCTGGACGGTGAGGGAGGCTGTTGGGAGAAGACGTACCATAGTGAGGAGGGGCAAAATTTGTTAATTGATAAAATACTTGAGGATATAATGGTAAAAAAAATACTAATAGAGAATTGAGTCAATTCCATCAGATATAGTAAGGAGCTTGGCCCCTTCAATTTTGATGGAAGTGAGTTTCACAGAGAATTAGGTTTTAATGTACCATAACATTGTAATTTTATAATTCCAATATCACTTTATTTTTCAGGATAGAATTCTTGCATGCAAACAAGCCATAAGGTATTGCGTTTTTTTTTTCCTACATACTTGTACTCGACAAAGTTATTTTTTGGACCTGGTATTGGACAAAGATGGAAGTTGTTGTCCTTGTTGGTGATTGTGCGGTACCATTACCAAGAATGACTGAGGTATGGAGTTGTGGTTTTTAGGATTAACAATTGTAAATGTCTGAAATGTAAATTCTGACAGTTCTTTCGCATGGGGAAATTGGCACCTTACTTTGGGATTTGTTTTGATCTCTCGACCTCTTCAGATTTGTCTATCAAATACTTTGGTTGTCATGAGGATGTCTCGTGATTCAAATTTCGGTCAGGCAAAGCAACTTCGACTTCTAAGATATGTCGAACTGTGTCATTCGAGAAAGGTTTTAATGTTCCTATTGGCATTAAGTTGTAATTTGCTCCCAATAGCCGAATTCGTGACTGCTCTCTGCCGTCTCTGGCTCTAATGTGGATCATGGAGGTTATTTGTTTCTTTTTTTAATTGCGGCGCCTATTGCTGGAATGGTTCTTTATCAACTTCTTTTGGTTCTAGCTTGTCCCAATATGGTAATGTGAGTAACAAATCATTCTTGTTATGCGTTTGAGCTAACTCCACATCTCACCTTATATTCTCTCTTGGCCAGTACTGAGAACACTGCAGTATTTTGAAAATTATGTTTGATTGGGCCCTTTGATCTCTTAACTTGAAAACATTTGTGGAGATATGACTCTTCAGCAGTGCGAGCTCTTTCGTTTGTCCAAGTCACAGTCTCTTCTTGTTTGACCATTCGGGATTTTTCTTAATGCCCGCTCCTAAATAACTCTATCGATGGTAATCTTCTCTTCTTTGTCTTTATAAAAAATGATATGAATTAAGGAATCATATAATACGATCAAATGTATAATTTTAGGTGACATCTAGAATTCATTGTGGAGCCAATAGCCATCGTTCATCTGGGTTTCAGTAAGTTGTCGTTCTGAGCACGTCTTTATGAAACTGTGACTTTAGAATTCATTGGAGCCATCGTCCCATCTGGGTTTCAGCTAGAATTTTTATGCGTTACCCAAGTCTTTAGTCTGGCTCAATCGTTGATCTTGAGATCTGTACTCTGATTTGGATTTTCACAGATAATTCAGGAGTAAAGCATTGAAAGAAGGAGGGGAGAGAAGGAGGAAGGACGAATAATTTGTACAAAGGAGCCAAAAAAAAGCAGATGCCAAGTGAGAGCGTCATCTAGTCATCTAATAGGAAGAGGTAATCATAGTAAGAACCCGAAGATACAATGGCAATGGAGGTAAGCTCATGATGATCTATCTAATGCGTACCCTACCCTGCCAGAATGCCAAATCTGATAAATAAAATAATTCTGGAACTTAAAACCAAGAGAGGTAAGAAAGCCATTGAGAGACATTAAAGCTTTCAATCTATGATGTTAACTGCCTTGGAAGCTCCGATAACACGTTGAATATTCTTTTTAGTTGGAAAAGTTCAACTTCAGGGTAAAAATTCATGAATTGATATAGTCCGTGTTACATCGATGAATTGATGTTGTACTGATAATGCCCTTGGCTCGAACCAACCGTCAACATTGTGTCGTAAAAGAAATTCGTAAATTCTGACTTTTGTTACTACCCTGTGGAGGAACCAGAAACACCTAAAGCACAGGATCAAATTTGTTGTTAAATTCCCCAATCAATAGACATTCACCTTAGAAAGGATATGTATTTGTCCCGAATTTGTCCCATCCGCACTACATCCAGGGTCATGAAAACTGGCACTGACAAAACGAGCAGAAGTTTTTTGTCATTATGTAAGACTCATTGTTACTTGACCGTGACCTTAAAGCCATATATGGTGTCCCGGTGAAGAGAATCATTTCATAGCCATTAACTTTTGCACCTTCGTCCAAGTTGATGAGTATATGAGCTATTACTGAATCTAGAGTGTGCCACAATCTCTTCTGTCTTCTCTTTTTCTGTCTTGCTTTTTCTTGAACAGGTTTGAACCACTAGGGCAAGCTTATTCGCATCCCTCACCACTACCACATCACTAAACCTGCCTTCTCCTGTACGTTAGACTTGTTCACTTCAGCCTCGAGGCTGATATATATCATTCATTTTTTTTCCTTTTCCTTTTTTAATATTTTGGCCAACAAATTCCTAACATCCAGTTAGTTGATGAGATGAGAATGATTTCCTTGCCTACCTCTTTCCTGTCATGGGTTGACCGAACTTAATATACCTGATTGGTTATACTTATAACTTAATAAACCTTTTTAAGCTGCAACAAATAAATTCTGCCTTGCGAGCAAAGGGCATAATGGTCATTCCAGCAATAGAAAATGTGGAGTTTAAATCCATATCTGATAAGATTTCAGATAATATTCCCATGAAGACTTATCCAAGAAGAAAGCGTCAAAAGATAAATTTAGATTGATTTCATTGTTTATTTTGCTCAGTATTTGATATTTCTTTAGATTTAGTATTTTATTTAGTCAGATTTTATTTTTTAGATTTTATTTAGATCTAGTAGTTTATCTATTTAGATTTTATTCAGTATTTTAGATTATAGGAGATATTATTTAGTTATTTAGTTATTTTAGGTTACAGGAGATATTATTTAGTTATCTAGTTATCTAGATTTTATCCATTATTTTAGATTGTATTTAGCATTATAAATATGACTAGCAACTTAGAAGCTATCATATCAGTTTATCAATAAAATAGTCTTTTAAACCTTTTGGAGATTCTCCTGAGCGTGGCTATTACGAGAAATATAGAACGAGATTCTTGTTCTATATCATCCTAATAGAGTTATTTTTATTTTAGTTATTCTGAGCACCTATCAATTTGGCATCAGTGCCATGGTTACCACACGTACTGGCCAAGAAACCAACCCTTCTGACAATTCGTCCAACAATGACCCAGAAAATCCAAATTCATTTATGTCAGATCATTTGGCCAAAATCGCGCAGCAACTCGAAACTCTTGATTTATTAAAAGAGAAGATAGAAGCACTCGAAGCCTCAGCAATCAATAAAAACAAGAAACCTAGAGAAGCACGCCGCAGGCACTATTATGAAGATGAAGAGAGTGAAGACGAGCAAGAAAATCGCAGGCGCACCAGATTTCATCGCACCAAAATTGAATTCCCAAAGTTTAGTGGAGGTGATCCACGGGGATGGATCTTAAAGGCTGAGAAGTACTTTAAGTATTACAACACACCTGAAGAAGAGAAGGTGGACGTAGCCTCACTGGCACTGGAGGGTGACGCACTAGAACTGTTCGCATGGATCAGTCATGAACGAACACTCAACTACTGGGACGAGCTCATGACAGCATTCCAAGAGAATTTCGGACCACTTGAATACCAAAATCAGGATGAATTTCTTTGCAGCATTAGGCAAGAAGGTTCAGTTCAGGAATATCGCACAGAGTTCGCCAAACAATCGTCGAGAGTCGCCGACCTGTGGAAGAAGCCAGCTGGGAGGACTACGATCTCTTGCACACTCAATTTCCCTCCTTTCCACTTGAGGACAAGTTGAGTTTTCAAGGGGAGGGTAATGATAAGATTCCAGATAATATTCCCATGAAGACTTATCCAAGAAGAAAGCGTCAAAAGATAAATTTAGATTGATTTCATTGTTTATTTTGCTCAGTATTTAATATTTCTTTAGATTTAGTATTTTATTTAGTCAGATTTTATTCTTTAGATTTTATTTAGATCTAGTAGTTTATCTATTTAGATTTTATTCAGTATTTTAAATTATAGGAGATATTATTTAGTTATTTAGTTATTTTAGATTACAGGAGATATTATTTAGTTATCTAGTTATCTAGATTTTATCCATTATTTTAGATTGTATTTAGCATTATAAATATGACTAGCAACTTAGAAGCTATCATATCAGTTTATCAATAAAATAGTCTTTTAAACCCTTTGGAGATTCTCCTGAGCGTGACTATTACGAGAAATATAGAACGAGATTCTTGTTCTATATCATCCTAATAGAGTTATTCTTATTTTAGTTATTCTGAGCATCTATCAATATCCCCCCCCCCCCACCATTTCTCCACAATCATTTGCTTTTCTGTTACTTGAGCTTCTTATTTTTCTCATAGGAGTAATGGATCGCCTTTGGTTTCACCAAATCGTTTTTTTCTCGGAATGCACAGCATCAGTCTCCCCAAAAGACGTAGAAGTAGCTCTGCTCATATCAGAATCTTTATCTTTCCCGTCTCTACTTCCTCCACCGGATGAACTACTAGAAAATTCAACGAAGGAACCACTTTCTCCCGAGAGTCAAGTCTCTTCAAAGACAGTCTCTCAAAATATGCAGGTATGGCAAAAATCCATTCACCACTTAGCCGTTCTATAATGTATTCATTTCTGTAGAGATCCATGACCATGCTCTCCTCTTTTTTCTTACTTCTTGTTGTCACAAGGATGATTCAAACAAGGTAGGACTTCGGGGGAGACCTAAAACAGTGAACCTATCGAGGAATAGTGTTCGTTTGCATTCATCGTCATCCTCGACTCCAAATGGTCACATGCAGTTCAGGAAACTGGCTACTGCAAGGAGACTGCAAAAGTCTATGAGTTACAGAACGCAGGGGGAGCTAGAGCTTGAAGAAGTGAAGGGCTTTATAGATCTGGGTTTCATATTCAAGAAAGAAAATGTGAGCGCACGAATGATGAACGTCGTCCCCGGCTTGCAGAGACTTAGCATGCATCGAAATAAAGCGGACAAGGAACTAATCGATGCCTCAAAAGAAGTCGAAGATGACAGTTTTGAAAAAGAAGAAGACAAAAGCAATGTAGGAATCACAAGACCATATTTATCGGAGGCGTGGCTTATAAAGAGACCAGATTCGCAGCTACTAAATCTCAAAATTCCCAGGCTATGTTCAGCTGCTGACATGAAGAAGCATCTTCGGTTTTGGGCTAAGACCGTAGCCTTCGAAATTGACCAAGAATGAATCATTCTGCTCAGTACAGTAACAACCAAGAAATCGATATAAAGACAGATGGAGCAGAAACTGATAGTTCGTAGGCTGTATTGAATATGAGACACATGCATTCGTAACTTCAAAATTGTATGTATGTTCACCAAGCATAATAAGAGAGACGGTGCGATTGTCATTCTTTTTCTCTCTTTTTTTCCTTTAGACACGCTTCCACAATTTTTCTTAATGGAAGAGGAATTTGATGTCAGAGTGGAGTTTTGATGGGTAAGGTGTTGTGGCAGAGAATTGGAGGTAGCTAGGAGATAAAGAAGGAAGAAGAGAAGAAGGACAAACATGCAGAAAATATTTTAAGTGAGGCCCACAATGATGTATTGGTCAGTGGAGCTTGGACGGCTCAAGAAATCGAGTGTCCAATTAAATGTTCCTATCCTATTTTGTCTTGGAACCCGACTCCAAAATCCTTGTTAATGTGATTTGTTCGTTCGCAACAGAAAGCAACAATTTCTTCTTTTTTTAATATATGTAGGAAAGCTACATTGATTCCGCAGCCACTTGAATTCTGCTTTCTGCCACATGCCCGTTGATTTGTCGTTTGTCCATTTCCTTCCTTCCTTGCTAATTAGACGTGATAGGAGAAAAAAAAAATCATCAATCTTGTTTCTAACGTGTAAATACTATTTTCTCAAACATATGGATAACTAGGCATATTTCTCAGCAATGTATTTCATATGATTTGACTTGTTATTGTTCTCACTGATTGGTAAAGATTTACAAAAATAGTTAATGCTCATGGACATTGTAACGATTTTTTTTCTGGGTTTTTTTTTTGGGAGGAGTGGGGAACAATGAAAACGAGCAAGTGACAAATATTTTAAAATGTTCCTGAACCTCAGTTCTATCCATCCTTGAAAACAACTCTAAACTAACCCAAAAATAAAAAGGAAATGCGTGGTTAGGAAGCTTGAGGCAGGATTCTCGGGGGTTATAATTAACACCATCGTAAATCTGTTTAATAATGAGATCCACAAACGACAGTGAGGAATGACATGGCACCCCAATCTAAGTGGTCATTATCTTCTTAAAACCTCTCTGCAAACTGCAATTCCGTCTTCTTAATCACAAAGTGGAAGGTTTTATAATAATGAACGGCCAACACGACCTTTCACCTCCTTACTTCTTTCTCGTATTCTTAGTGCCACTTGCCTTCAAACTTTGTCAAGGCTTTCAATCTCACGCAAGTCCGACTCGATTTTTCTGCTCACGGAAGCTGGTTTCATTAGTTGTTCATTTTTATCAATATGAAAAATATAGAAAAAGTATGTGTATGTGTATGTGTATGTGTATATTAAATTAAAGTATAGAAGAAGTTGAGATTAGGCAAATCCTTTCCAGAAGGCGCAGTGCAAGTTGATCTAGCCACACAATCAAAGGCTTGTTTGAATTTCCATTTGGATTCAATTCTGATATCAAAACTATGGTTTTGTAAAAACTTATCCAAACATATTCAATTTTGCAAAATTTTACTTGGCTTATGAAACTCCATTTTGAGAAAATTATTTTTCTCTTCATTTGAAAATTAATTCTTAACGTTTCAGCATTTTTCATTTTCCTCTATCTTTATAAATGATTATGAAAAATTATCCAAACATTATTAAGTTTTGTTAATTAATCAATTTTTACTAACTGAAATCCAAATATACCCCAACAGATTCCTTAAATGGTGGAAAGATGAGTTATCATCTAGATAGATCTCATGAATTACATATTATATATATATATATGGAGAGACTTAGTGCAGGGGCAGAGAGCGTGTCACCATGCGTAGTTCTCAAGCAGACGGCCGAAGGTCAAACAAAGTCGGCTAGTGGACACGCCCCAATCCTATATACCTTCATCTCCACTTCTTGCTCTTCCTATTTAAGCCTCTCAGTTTCCCCCAATTCCCATCACCTCTCTCTCTCTCTCTCTCCACTCAGTTAATACACACATACACACACATGGCCACCTCTTCGTCTTACTTCTTCCTCATGCTCTTTCTTCTCTTCCACTTCCATTTGGGTACGTCTTTCACTGATTTTTTTTCATTCCCTCGTGTTTTACTGCATTGTAATTCTGACAAAAAAAACATTATTTTAATTGACTATGATAAAATTCCCGTGGTTTAAATTGATATATAAAAGAACGTGCATGTTCACTGGTATAAACGTGTGTGTTGTGTAAATCGTAAATAATATGATTATAATATGATGAAGGGAGAAGCCAACTAGAGTTGAACTACTACTCCAAGAGCTGCCCAAGAGCCGAAGAGATCATTAAGCAACAAGTCACGCAGCTTTACAACAAGCATGGCAATACTGCCATTTCCTGGCTCAGAAACCTCTTCCACGACTGCATGAAGGTCATTTTCCATATTCTCCCCTCATTCTTACCTCTCCTTTTCCTCGAACGTAGCTTCTATTTCATGTGCATGCATGTGTTTGATGAACGAATGCAGTCATGTGATGCATCGCTGCTGTTAACGAGTAAGCACGGCGTTGTATCGGAGCAGGCGTCCCCAAGAAGCTTTGGCATGAGAAACTTCAAGTACGTCAACACCATCAAAGAGGCTCTCGAGCAAGAATGCCCCTCCACTGTGTCTTGCGCTGACATCGTTGCTCTCTCTGCCAGAGATGGCATCGTCCTGGTATCTTTCTGACTTTATCTATATATACATGCAATGTTTAGCCATCGATTCACCAAGTATCATTAATTAAAAGTTGATTTATATTTGTTCATAAATAGTTGGGGGGTCCGCGCATTGGAATGAAGACGGGAAGAAGGGACAGCAAGCAAAGCTATTTACCAGTGGAAGACTTCATCCCTAACCATAACGACTCCATTTCCTTAGTGCTCTCTCGTTTTCAATCCATCGGCGTTGACGTTGAAGCCACGGTCGCTCTTTTAGGTACTTTCCCACATCTCACATTCATTTACTCCTAATAACTTTCGACAATCACCCATAAACCTTACGTGGGCCCTACGTTGTGTTATTAATTTTTGTCAAGCATATTTCAGGCGGTCACTCGGTGGGCAGAGTTCATTGCGTGAATATGGTGGACAGGCTATACCCGACGGTGGATCCGACGTTGGACCCTGAACATGCGGCGTACCTGAAACGCAGGTGCCCAACTCCGAACCCGGATCCGAAGGCTGTTCTGTATGCGAGGAACGACCTCGACACTCCCATGGTGATTGACAACCAGTACTACAAACATATTTTGGCGAACAAGGGTCTTCTCCACGTAGATGCAGAGCTAGCGACTGATCCAAGAACCTCACCTTTTGTGCAGAAGATGGCTTCTGATAATGAGTATTTCCTCCAGCAATTCTCGAGGGCCATTCTCATGTTGTCTGAGGCCAATCCTCTGAGCGACGATCTTGGTGAAATCAGGAAGGATTGCCGCTACGTCAATCCCAATTAGGTTGGCCAGACCACGTGCATCAATATGCACGCCTTGTATCCACTATAAAGCCATTACCTGGAATCAAATATGACGGCTTACCTGGCTTCTCTTGAAGAATTAGCAACCCACCACCTATTGGGCCTCTTCTTGTTCTCTCTCTGTTTTTCTCCAACTCTGTTCACTGTAGGCACCCCGGGTCCAGAGTCCACATGGGGAAGTAACAGTTTTCACTGTTTACAATCATAAGTTATGTGATCTGACCCTCTCTTCTTAAAAGCTTTTTACGAACCCCACGTTTGGTTGCCAAAAAAGAAAAAAGAATGAAATAGAGTAAAAAGATAAAGATAAAAATAAGATGATCAGAAGAAATAATAAAACACATTCATAAAAAAATAATTTAATTTATAGGGTTAGGAATCATGATTCATAAAATTTTTAAAAAGTATAATAATTTTCACATTTGATAGTATATATGAATTAATTTTATCATGTTTATTATGAGAAATAATAATAATTTAATTTATTTTGGTGTTAATTTTCTCAATTCATTTTATTTTATTTATTTTTAATAATCAAACGGAGAGAATTGTTTTCTCTTCATGCATAGAAAATATGGGCCCTCGGTGCTCATTACTATGAGTGCTCGTCACTTTTAAAGTGATCTGGACCGTTCATTTCATCTTGGAATAATATGTACCATTCATTTTAAATTAATTTTTAAAAATTTTTAATATTATATTTATTAAAAAAATTCTAAAAATTATAAAAAAATTATTAATAAATATATACCATCTGCTATTCAAACTATTTAGATAGTTAATTTTTAAAAATTATAAAAATTTTAATTATCATTGGTACTCAATGGGGATGACATGAACACCACCTTATTTATTACTCTTTGTAAGATTTAGATCGTATAGACTTAAAGATTTTCTTTTTCACTTTTATTTTATATTTATCAAAATAAAATTTTTTTAACAAACATGTTCATTATTAATCTGGTTAGTATAATTTTACAAATAAACTATCCATATGTACTTTAAACCATGTAGATATAATCTAACTGATCCAGTTTAATATAAAAAATTATTATAATATTTATAAATTAATTATCTAGATGTACTCTAAATAATATATATTTAATATTAAATTTTGATAATTTTTAAAAAAATTATTTTAATAATACAATATTAAAAATATTTAAAAATTAAATTAAAATGAACGGCACAAATCATTTCAAGACTAAATGAATGGTCCAAATCCACCCAAAAGGGTGGTAAGCACAGAATGCATACGGGGATATGATTCATTCCGGTCCTTAGGCTGTATATGAAACATCCTTCACATTGAAGCCCCTTCTTTTTAGTTTTTTTTTTTTTCTAAGTAAATTTACATAAAGCGAGCAATACGTCGTGTCTCATATTAGAGGAATTGAAAGAGGTTTCTAAATATATAAACAAGCGTGTTGCAGTCCTACTGAGCCAGCTTTTTTTTTAAAAAAAGCAATGTTTTCATAGTAAAGTAATATCGTGATAAAATGATATCAAAATTAAACTTGAGTTTGTTCAATTGGTAGCCTTTCTGATAGATTATCAGGGATGAAAGTGTCACAGATTAATCAAGAAAGCTATTATGGTCATATCAAAGAGACTTAAAAAGAGAGCTAAGCATATAAACAAATGCATTTCATATCTCACTAAACTTGCTTTTTGAGGGGGGAAAAATAATGGTCCCCTCAACGCTGACAAGAAGCGAGAACAAAACGAGACAAAACCATTGATGTTATATTAGGGACTATTTCCGAGCATCAAGTCAAGGGTTTGATTTTGAGTGCATCGATCTGATCGTTTCGTGAATTATCCGAGCTGTTTCACCCAAAAGAAAGAAAGAAAAAAGGTTGGTGAAAGCCATTAATTATATAGGCCGTAGATAAAAGTAGCTGAGCCGGGGTGCGCGATCCAATAGAATTAACATTTGTTGCGTGGTGGCGTTTCCTTGTGATTATCAACTTCATTATCACCGTACCACTTGGATGAAAATGTCACGCGTCGCTTATATCATCATAATATAATAACCAACGCATACAATTATCCTTCCTGATCAATAAACACACTTAATATATTCTATTCTGATTCCGGTTATAATTAATTGAGTTGCAGGTTAAGTACTTGAGAAGTGATATTTTATTTGTATGATTGCAATTGTCCATTTTCCATCATGATTAAAACTACACGCAAGGGACCGTGACACCCCAACTTCCTAAACGTGGTTTATTTTAAGTATCCACAGACTGTGTTTGGATTTCAATGGGTAAAAATTAATCATAAAAATTGATTAACAAAATGTCATAATATTTGGATAATATTTTTTGAAATTGATTTTGATAATTAAAAATGTTTGAACAATTTTTCAAAGGCAATTATAAATATGAAAAAAATAGAAAATGATCAAAGGCTGCGAGTTGATTCTCAAATAAAAAAAAAGCTTTTTCAAAATAAAGTTTTACAAGCTAAATGAAATTTTGTAAAATTGAGAGTGTTTGATAAGTCTTTGCAAAAAGATAATTTTGGTTTTAAAATTGATTCTAAATCTGCATCCAAACAGGTCCATCGTCTGAAGTCTACGCAAGTTAATTATTATTTTTAATTAGTGCAATAATGGGCACTGATGGATTAATTTAGCTTATCAAACACCACAATGCCGTTCACGCGTCCAGCTGTTCTCGTGTTGTTCCGGAGCGTAACCTGAAATGAGCAATTTGGAAATGTCAAAAACACTTTTAAATAGGTGCCGCAATTTTAGGTTCGCATTAAAGGGGTGAGAAAATAAAGAAGTTTATTGATAGATAGCTGAAATCCACGTGGAAGGGGAAGGCCGATTTCCAAGTAACAACACCAGGGTGGAATTCACTAGCACGTGAATCGTTGATTCTGGGCCACGTGTCAACAATATAAATATGAATAGTCAAATGACTTGTGCGTGAATTCAGATTCTCATGAGGATATATACGAACTCATCCTCGTACATGTATGTATGTATCCTGATTTTACGCCAATTTTTATTGAATAAGTTGACAGGCGATCCAAACATTGCGGGAATGGGAAATGCAAGTGAGGAAATATCAGTCAACGACTATTTAGCATATTTATATTGATCAACAACAGTAAAATTCTTTAATTTCAATGCAGTCTCTTGATCTTCAGATGAAATTAATTTTGTATATAAAATAACTGAATTATTTTTAAAATTTAAAATAATAGAAAATAATATCTACTATTATTGGTGTCGGCCATCGGAGACCTTATCACTGTTGACCGATCACTGAAGCCAATGATGCTTTTATTGAAGGATTAAAGGATAATTGGCAAATATGGCTAATAGGGATTTGATTTCATTACCCTTTATCCATCTAAAGAATTTGGTGATTAGGCCCATTTAATCACACATGGCCAAAAAAAAAAATTATAGTAACCCAAGTTTTTAAATTACTTTCATATTATAAAATAACAATATATTGTTAATGCTATGAAGACGCTTATTATTCTACTAACATTGCTTGTTAATTTGTCGTGATCAATTATAAATTGAAAGTTTTAAAATTTTATATATTTTAATTATTAAAATACGAATGTATTATTGTTAGTTATGAATGAACTATTGTCAAAATTTAAATAAATATTTATCCATAAATAACTAACATTTGTATAGAAAATAAAATATATGAAGTTTTATAGTTCTTAAAATGTAATTGATCATGTAAAATTAATATGTAACATTAATAAAATAATAAGTACCTTTTTAAAATTAACAACAAACTGTTATTTTATATCATAAAAATGATTTAAAAATTTGAGTTATTATATATATTTTTTGTTGCCATATATGATTAAATCGATCTGATGACCATTTGATGATTTTATGTAACAAGAGATTATGTGATCAAACTCTTGGGTGGGTGGTTCTATTAATTATTCTTCAATCCTTTAATAGAAGTATCATTGATGCTGGAGTGTCGGTGACTTCGCTAGCGGTGGCAGGCGATAGTGGAGGTGAATTTTTTTTTTTTTTTGTATTATGTTAAATTATAGGACGTAAAAAATTGATTTGAAGGAGTTGTTGTGAAAATTTAAAATTGTACTGTGCTTGTATAAATATGGTACATTGATGTGTTTTCAATGCAAATTGACATGACACAGTGATGTGATGAGCTCGAGGAGTTCTTTGACACCGAACTGTGGGGCCTCATGCCCTAAAACCTAAGACACCCGCAAATTCCAACCCACACTTTCCATAGTATTCACCCCCTTTGATGACGTTTTTTAAGCTAACCATCTTTTTAAATTTAATTCAGGCGCTTTTCTTAAGGACCACAATACCCTTTCATTTCATCCCACCTCACCCTTTGTGTCATCACCAAACTTTTCTACGTGCTTGCGTTACAGCCCCATCCATCCAGCGAATTGCTTCCTGCCCTCAATGCTCCAAGTATTATTTCATTTTTAAATATACTAGTTAATTAACGATTCGTTGTACGAAATATTATTTGTGCAACTTTTTTTAAGATGGTGGTAAATTGTAAATATATTAAGTAGTTATATGTTTTAAATAATAATAAAAAATAATTAAATGATTATTATTTAAGAACGACTTTGCAAAAAAAGTGTGGTGATAATATAATATATAAATTTTAAACACCTATTTAATTTAGACCAAACAGGCTGCTTCTACAAACAAAGAAAGATAGATAATTTGTAAAAACAGATTGTGGATGAATGCAATAATTTGTTATACTAAATAAAAAGTGAAAACAGTTAAAAAATAAAAAGGTATAATACCTCAACAAATAGATGGCTACCATACATTAGTTAAGTTGTTGAAAATCTCCTTATAAACTGCGTTTGCACGGTAACATTTGTAGGCTTATCATTTGCATTAAGAATTAATATCTCAACCCTTTCCTATCCTACACATATAATAACATATAGCTAGCCATGTGTAGAGACAAATCTTGCTAAGTACAATCCGACAATAAGCAACTCTAAATATGACTCTTGTTTATGGTCACAACAAAGGATAATATAACTGAAAATTGTCTTCTATGAAAAGTGAACGACAACCAACAGTCAGAGGATAATATATCAATCCTTGGAATGCATATATTTGTCCCAACACTTGAGCTTGAAATTATTTCTATTTCCATAATTTGTTTTCCTATCCAAGTAATGATTTGACATGTACCATTATAGAACCTGAAAGA